TCTCAATTTTTCAGTTTTATTCATTCAGTATCTCTGTGAGAGACTCGAATCTCTGAATTAACAATTTTATCGTTCGAGTCTCTCATACAGAGACTGTGAGAGGAGATCCATAAAAACATCTAGGCAATATCTGAGAGACTGTGAAAGACTGTGAGAAACGCTCTCAGAGACGCTGAAAGACTGGAGAGAGACTGAAAATTTTTGTTCAGGGTCTAGCAGTCGTTTTTTTTAACGCTCACCTTCACTCCTTCTTATCCTGGACTGATCTTCGCATTTCCCTAAAACTAGAACAACCCACATCCTTAACTATTTACTAACAGTAATCTAATCCAGGTTTACCTCTACCGTCCTAACTCCCGTTTCTGCCTCTAATATGTCTCTGTGTAGACCTTCATGCTTAAAAAGGTGTCCTACTAACCTATCTCGCCTATTTCTTATTGACTTCCATAGAGTCCTCCATTCTCCTACTCTCTCTAATACCTCTTCATTTCTAACCTTCTCTATCCACGGTATCTTCAACATTTGCCTGTAACACCACATTCGAACGTTTCTAACCTTTTCTTTTCCGCCGTGCCCACTGTTCTTGTTTCGCACCCGTACGGCGCCGTGCTCCAAACATACACCTTTAGCATAGAAGTGACTTCTTTTTATTGAAGGGGACTCGACCCTGCGCTATCTCCTGCTTTCTATCCCTACTACTGCTTCCGTCCTGACTTATCTGACCTCCTAGATACCTAAAATCGGCCACTTCTTCTAATTTTTCGTCTTCTATCTTTATAATTGCTCTTTTCCTACTTTTTCATCCCTTGTATACCTATTATTATTGGGATTCCTATAACGCAGGATTTTTTGTACCTAACGTTTGAATGTGATAATTTTTTTTCTAAGCTTTTCAATTTTCGTGTCGTCGTTCGATTCGAAGAAATTCGCAGTGTACTTTCTTTATGTATGTGTGTACGTGCGAGGGTTTTTTCGGTCCTTATTTGATTTACCCACCGGATTTCCGGCAAGGGGTAGATAGAAATTCCCAACCTACTTCCTTTTCCGCCGTTCGGTATTTGTGTACAGCTGATTTGATTCTCTTTTCGCGCCGGTTAAAACGTTTTTGCGATTCATTACGCCTGTAAGCTGGAAAAATAGGTAGTACGCGCCCGTCGCAAAAAGCAATTCCGCGTAAAGCAGTTACCGAATTTTCATCCCGCTGATTTTGTTCTTTAGAATGTGAACGCGACACTAAGGGAAACATTCGAACGTTTCCCCGTGTGCAAAAACCCAATTGTGCTTTTATTACGGAACGTTTAAGGAAAGTAATTGTGAATTTATTTGCACCAGTAGCTTCAGCTTTTACGTTTATACCGGCAAACGTTCAAACCGGTTGCTCAATATCCATACAAATTTACCTACCCCACTTTACGTTATTATGATTGTCTCTAATAAAATTATTCCTCTTGGTCGTAACGAACTGCTGTCTTGAATTATAATTAAAATTAAACTTTAATAGGTCGTAAAATTAACAGAATGAAACGTCAAAAATTTTATCTGTTAATCAGTCAACAAAAACTCTCTATAACGAAAGTCCGAAACGTCATCAAACACTGTTCAAATGTGACGTATTGCCTCGTTATATCAGTGGATAATTGTTGTTTAATGTGATCATTATCATAGAATTAAGAGAAGCCAACCAAAGTAAAGTTACTTGATTTATTCGTAATAATCGGTTTTGTGATAGGTAAAAGTAGTAGGGTTAGGCAAATCATTCGATTAATCGATTGATAATCCCATTCCTACTGTGAAAAGTTTCTTAAAGTATATATTTCGTATGATATTAATATATCCATTAGTTCGGCATATTTGTTAATTTATTAATATTAATATAATTGCTTTAGATAATCCATTAATTTCAGTTATAAAAATCATTTAATCGAATATTTTCGGTTTTTAAAAATAATTGATTAATCGCAGTAATCGACTATTTACTAACAATGGACAATTGGTTGTTAGTTTTAATAATCTCCTGGCCCTAAAAGAGTTTATAGTCTTTGTATTAGATTAAAAAATCGGGTTGTATAATCTTCATATAACAAACGTATAAAAAAGCCTTAATAAATTAAAGTTATTCCAACTGCTGAATGTTGAATCCATCATTTTTGGATCAAATATTAAAGCTAGTATCCAAATGTTTAATTTTTTTTTGTAACAAAGTTTGACATTAGAAGCAGTTCCAACTGAATACAAAACTAATGTTATTGACAAAAACTACTTATTAAAAACATGAACGCTATTTTCTTATAATTTCAAACTTGTCGTAGTCTATAACAGTTTTCCTTTGTTTCCAGGTATAGAAACTAAGTTTGCTGGTTCCAGCTGCAATGACTTGGTAACAGTCGATGGATCAGGAACTACAATAATAAGTTGCCATTTTGATAAGAGAATAAGATTTTGGGATACTCGAAGAGAATCCAGTGCTGACGACATTGTCTTATCAGGGAAAGTGACATCTCTTGATCTTTCTCGAGGTAAAATACATAAATTCTTACCCGAGATAAAAATGTTCAGTCTCGCAGAGTCTCAAGAAAGTGAGACTCGAGACTCCGTCTCTCGTCGAGTCTCTCTGGTGTCTACGAGAGAGACTGTCGAGAGACTGTCAAAAAAACTGTTTGGCGTCTCTGAACGAGAGACTCGAGTCGCTCATAGAGAGATCCTTTCGTATCCAGTCTCTGAACGAAAGACCGAATCTTTGAACGAGAGACTCGAATCTCTGAACGAGAGACTCGAATCTCTGAACGAGAGACTCGAATCTCTGAACGAGAAACTCGAATCTCTCAATAAGTGGTGTCTCAATAGACATGGTTAAAATTTTCTAAGTTCAACATATTTCAGAGATCCCAGTCTTTCTACGAGAGGCTCGAGTCTCTCAATTTTTCAGTTTTATCCATTCTGTCTCTCTGTGAGAGACTCGAGTCTCTGAATGAACAATTTTATCGTTCGAGGCGGCCTAAGTTTGCAGCTATCCTTAAGCTCAAAGTATCTACACACTAACACTACTCTATCCCATCAATTTTGTTACTTAGAAAATAAGTAATGTCTAACCGCTCTGGGATCTTGCTCTATATCAATTCTCTTTAGAACAACAGTTTCGCATTGTAGATATAAACTAAACCACAACTATCGACTGGTTTTCCATTATGGGACTTCTGGGTCATACACATGTATTAGGTGTGTGTGGTTCCGAAGTTTCCTTTCCACTTGATACACTTGCTCAAAAGTTTGTTGTGGCCCGTAGATACGAGCATTCTCTGCATTCAAACCGGCAACGATAACAATGTTTTCATGATGTCTGTATGTTGTTTCAGACGGCAGCTACCTTCTCAGCTGTGTTCGGGACGACACCCTCAAACTACTGGATCTTCGCATGAACAAAATTGTTTCGTCGTTTTGGTAAGTCATCATACACCTTGATATATATATATATATATACATAAGTATGTAAACACTGAGGAGCCATCCATAAATTACGTAACACGTTAAGGGGGGGGGGGAGTATGACAAAGGGCAGAGAGGTCCAAAGACTTTGTGTTGTCACATGTCTAAATCTGAAATATTAAACTGCGAAATTTATATGATGTAAACAAAAATTTTCAAAAGGCTACTAACTCGATCTATATTTATAAAATAGATATAAGATTGAAAAATATATGACATTACAGCAGGGAGGGATTTCACAATTGTGATCCCTAAAATTAGTATCTCTTTCTTTTTCGTAAATTATCTCACAGGTTCGAAATACTGTTCTTGTGCCCTTTTTAGAAATACAATGGAATGATTTCGAAAGTGAATGAGACTACGTTAATAGAATTCGAATTCACATACAACAAATACTCCAGGGTTAGTATTCACACTATTTCTTCAAGTTTTAAAGCTCTAAGGATTTCGGAGATGTTCTGTTTAAATAAGATAATGTCACTGTTGTATGTTTCCATCAACTTGCTCATTTCAAATCAAACAACTTGTAAGTTTTTGAATTTTTAGATTTTAAACGTTGTTTTAGAGGTATATTTAGAAAAAGGTCCCCAGGTATGTCTAGGCCTAATAGTGTAATAGTAATATTTCAGTTTTATCGGAAAAAAGAAATTGTTTTCTATTATCTAACAAAAATTTGCATACATATTTCTTAATCTTGCAATCTGAAATATTGGTATTTTAATGAGAGACAGGGGTATGTCATCATTTATTGGATTTTAATTAAAAATTGTTTAGTCTGAATGGAGAGTCATCACATCTATGCACGTTACAGAACAAAGGATGCTATAGAAGTCAATAAGAAATAGGCGAGATAGGTTGATAGAACATGAAGGGCTAGTTAGAGATATATTAGAAGTAGAAACAGGAGTTCTTACGAGTAGAGATAGACCTAGATTAGATTACTGTTCACAAATAGTTAGGGATGTAAGATATTATAGTTTTAACTCAGGATATGAAAGAGTTGAGGTATGTGTCCAACCAGTCTTAGGACTGATAACCCTATGATGATGACGATGGTGTACGTTATTTGATCTGATATTTTTTTGTAACAGTTCAAGTTAGATTTCTGTTAGCGAAGACTACAAATTAGCTGAGCGCGCGTGGTAAGGTCTACAAAAACATCAGCCGCAACTAAATCTAGTTAACCGAATAATTACGTAAATATTTACTTTGTTTTAGCACAAAATTACCATAAAAAGCTTGTTGTTTATACAATCTGCTATTGTATTATCGAGTTTGGTTCGTTCGTGTATGCACGATGGAGTGGAAACAATAGCTAATTGCTTACTTCATCTTTCGTTCGGTGCAAGGTATGCGTTTAATAATAATTGCTTGTACGTTCCTAGAGAATCGTTTTCTACATGTTTGTAGAACAAAGTTTCGTATTTACCTTCGCCGGAGCGATAATCCGACGATGTACACTTAGTTAACCGTTTTGGTTTCTAATTGTGTAAACATTGTGAATTGGAGCATTAACAACACGGCTCCTGGTCAAGACCACTTACTTCTCTGTGAAGTCTTCTCCTGGACAATTGAAATATGTAGCTCCCCTGGCGTCAAAGGAAGCGTTAGAGGCATTTAATATGTGGTGTTATAGGATAATGTTAAAGATAGCGTGGGTGAAGGATTAGAAATGAGTAGGAAAACAGATTAAGTTAATAATAAATAGACGAGATAAGTTGATATAACACCTTCTCATACTTAAAAGGATAGTTAGAAACACATTAAAACCAGAAACAGGAGTTAAGAGGGGTTGAGATAGTAGACCTAGACTAGATTTCTGTTAGCACATAGTTAAAGATTTTGGTTATTCGAATTTTCGAGAAATCGAAGATTGGCCCGAGATAGGAAAAAGAATAGTAACTCAATGGTCGAATTGCTTTTATTTGGCAATGAGCAAAATTGGTCTTGATGTTACAGTCTTGGTCGTGTTCTTGGTCTTGGGAAAATGCAGTTATGTGTAGTAGTAGTTTTGTTGATATTTACTTTAATCCAGGGGTCGGAACACTTTTAAGCTGGAAGAGCCATTTACAATAAAAATATTGTTTCATGAATCTCAAAGAGTCACGAAGTTTTAATTCGGCTTTTACAAGATAAATAGTATTGAAAAATACAGTGCGATTATGAGGTCGTGGCATTCTGGAAGACTGTTCCAGGTGACGAAAAATTACTGACTCAGACGTGGGCATCCTTTTTACAGCTGTCCGCTTCTGTTGCGATATCAAAAGACATTTATGCCTTCTTCTAAGCTGCTACTTATACTCATAAATTTCTAACTCCACAAATCATTGCTTTTTGGGTAATCGGATTTTAAATGAACCAAGGTAGACTTGTTACTTTTGAACTGATTAAATCATTCATCAAACCCATCCTTCATTGTTTTGATCGTTCTTGTGAAGTAATCATCTATGTATGTTAATAGAAGCACTAAGGTTTTGAAATGTAATAATGTTTCCATCATCATATTTTCTGCCAAAAGAAGCAATTTATTTTCAAACGAACTACTTCTTCCAATAATAAAAATGTCGCGCTTCCTCTTCCTTGAAGCTTTTGGTTCAGTTCTTGTGATATATTGTAGCGTCAGTGAAAGAGCCGCGGTTTGCCGATCCCTACTTTAGTCGATCGACAATCGGCATTGTTTACGTTCTCCATCGTTATACTTTTTAAGCCCTTATCTCAACTCGATGCATAGGTACAGACCTATGTTGCCAATTCACGTTCAAGACTGGCTTTGGATTATAATTTCTTGTGTTTTTTTTTAACTTTCTTGCTTCTTAATCACGTTGCTGTACTCACCATGTGATTCCCCATTGCATCTAATTGACATCCTGCAAAGTTTGCTACTTATTTCAGAACCACCCTCTGTATGTACCATTCCAGTGAAAACAGTTTTAGGATTGTAGGCCGTTAAACGTCTCTTCAGATTCGCCAGAACCCTTCGAACTGACCGTTTTCCTTGTTTACTAACGGAACGGTATTTCTGAACCACTGAATTGTGCCCTCATCCTGGGGCACTCTGTTTACTTGTTTGCCTCATTAAACCAGTCAAAGTTTACAGTTGTATACCGTTTGAATTGTTCAATTAACATTCTGTTTAAGCGCAGGAAGGGGTTCGGTTTCCTATTCTCCAAAATGGGGATGTTCAGAAACCGGAGACGTCCGAACTTACTAGATTAATGATTTATTTATCGTAATTTCATCGTAATAAAAAAAGGCACAGAATTTCACTAATTGATATAAATACCTAGTGGGTTGAGGTCTCAAACTCCTATAAGAACCAAGATTCGTAGGAAGCACTTTTTTATTTATTTTACTACGATTAAATGTTTCTACAAAACGTTCGCCGTAAAGAATTTAATATCTTTAAGAAGACTTTTTTATGAGACCCCAAAAAATTCCTTGTGGGACATTTGCGTTACAAAGAAAACCCATTGTGTGGAATAAGAAAAGCTCTTGTATAGCAGAGATTTCTGTAAATAGAAAGTGGGTTGGCATAAAATGCGAAAATTATGAGCTTTTCGTAGGAGACTTTATTGAAAAAGCAAATGAAATTTTTTACTTACTCATTAATTAATTTGGCTTTTAAAACATCGTTTATGTTAAGTTCTTCGTCAGAAATTTATCGTGTTAGACGTGGATCCTAATTTCAATGCCATTGGATCTCACCAGCACGCCATAGGCAATCCCAATAAATCATAAATCACTCATTCGATACATTTCTACCCAACAACTTAAAATAAACGTCGTCGATTCAGTTCAGCAACTTGATTCCTAAAAAGGCCTTATCTAACGCGTGAAATACTTTATTAACCGATAAACTCCACTAGATGACGATATTCTGCTTGTACATAATTGGGTTTTATGTCGAGTCAAATAACAAATCGTTTTTCAAATAATGCAATACATTTATAAATTAAATTGATTGTATTTTTGTATTGTTTCGCATTAATTGCGACATCGTCAGCAGTTTACGTGAAACTTAACTCTTTTGTACTTTAATTATTGCTGAGGATATAGAAGAAGGTGAAAAGTTATTAGTTCAGCCACCCTCAGTCCCTTTCTTCATTTAACAATTCGTAGCATTCTTCTCGATTTCTACTATCCTCTCACAGCTTAGACATTCTACCTCCCTGTTACATATCCTACGCAGTCTCTCATCTTCATTTATCCAATATTTACATCCTATACACTCGCTGTCTTAAACTTTGCCAGCAAGTTTATTTCCGTCCTCCTAAATACCCTGGCGCCCGATCCCCTTACAAATCGTTCCACAAAATCTCTTTCGGCCCCACAACGTATCTTGACTTATTATTCTTAAATCTTCTCCCATCATCAATTCCCCTATATGGATCCGTTTCCTAAACCAGCCCCTCACCAATCTCATCAAACCCATCTTCCCCTCTCTCTATTATAATTAGTTTTCGTCCCTATTTCCAATACCTCCTTCTTCCATATTTCCTTCCTCATATCTTTCTTCTAGCCTCCCCAGTCTCTCCTCATATGTCACTCTCCTTTTTATCACTCCTTTCCATATTTAGTTTCCCCTGCTATAAGATAATCTGGCGTAGGTACTTCTCCCTAATTGCTTAATATATGTTTTATATAAGACCTCTAAATGCTTTTGTCCTCCAATCTCCATATAAAATATTACACTGCTCACCATCAATAATTTATGGCCTAACCCCCTTACCTTTCCCATAATTGTCCTTTCCATATCATCCCTATTATTATCGCCGAGCATGTATGAAAGATATGAACAATTTCTCTCTTTTCACCCCCTTCCTTACTATTTTGGTTTTTCTCTACCGCTTCTTCCTCTTTTTTCCCAACTTCTATAACCTTTGATTTTTCATTATTTAGCTCCAGCCCCTTCTTTAATGAATACTCTTCTAGCTTTCCTACCATTTGCTTTAATA